ACCTAATGTTTCTCAGCACTGTTATGGTATGCACCTCTGGTTATGCACTTGTAAATTATGTTATGCACTTCTAAATTATAACAACAATTTTAATCTAAGAACTAAGCTAATAGAAAGCCTCTCTAAAAATATGTCTTAAGATCTTGCACGGACTTGTAACTTCTAAATTATGTTATGCGGTTCTAAATTATGTTATGCGGTTCTAAATTATGTTATGCGGTTCTAAATTATGTTATGCACTTCTAAATTATGTTATGCGGTTCTAAATTATGTTATGCGGTTCTAAATTATGTTATGCGGTTCTAAATTATGTTATGCGGTTCTAAGTTATGTTATGCGGTTCTAAATTATGTTATGCACTTCTAAATTATGTTATGCGGTTCTAAATTATGTTATGCGGTTCTAAATTATGTTATGCGGTTCTAAATTATGTTATGCGGTTCTAAATTATGTTATGCGGTTCTAAATTATGTTATGCACTTCTAAATTATGTTATGCGGTTCTAAATTATGTTATGGAAGAACTCAATTTCGATTCGAACATGTGTAATCGAAATTGAGTTCTTCCATAATATAATTTAAAAGCGAATATTGACATGAATAACGCTTCATACTCCTCCGCAGAGGCTTTAGTTTCCTTAGGATTTAATATTACGATGAGATACATTTCACTACACTTTACATGGCGGATCTTGGAACACTAGCGTAGCCGCTGGGCGAAGGAGCGCAGGCGGCAAAGGGAAGGTGAGGGAAGGCGCGAAGCCTCTGCAGTCTGCACGATTTGCATCGCAAAGTGGGACAAAGTGGGACAAAGTGTAAACATCGAAACAAAAGGTGATTTTTAAGCTAAACAAGAAACGTCTTTTTGAAAATTAAATAATTATTTAATGCATGATTGATTGACCTTATTGACCAGTGCTTGCATGTTTGTTGATGGTCAAAAGTAATATTTTTTAACATTTAATACAGAAGGCAAACAATCGTATATTTTACTCACCACTTGGCCAAACATTCTGTATTTCGTATCGAGAAAAACTTGAATATTTCTTGAACTCTTCGGAATTCGCCACCAGTCAAAGAAGTAAAATACTCCTTGTATTCAAACGCTTTCGTGTAGAAAATTTCTTTTGAATACGGCCAGTAGAAATATTTATTTTTAATTTTTCAAAATAACGGGTTTTTACTCGCACAGTCGCACGCGCCTGTCAAACGCTGATGTTCGGGAATTAGTTCACAATCAGAGCAGGAATGGAAATACCATAATAAAAGATGAAGTTTTAAGATACAAGCTCAACAATAATACTCTAAGTAGTGCCGTTTTGAATTCGCTTTCGAACAAGAGTAATACAAAGAGGATGCGTCCCAAGGAGCCGAAGTTATGTTCGCCGAAAGGTATGCCTAGTTTATATTTATCAAGTGTAAACATTGCGTGATTTGATATTAATATACAAAATCCCGCTTGACTTTCAAAGGTCATAAATCGCTATAGTGTTGACATTTCACTAAAACTATCGATAGAACTAGGAGATATTTTTGTACTGAATCGAACGGTGGTATTTTCATCTACATAGCGTATATTGAACCAAAGATACGAACCTCCAAATAACCAGGTCGAAACCGACTGAAGGTCGCGTTTGTTTATAGATATTGCTGAAGTTGAAATAGTTGAATTGTATTTTCAGTCTTTATAATAAATTTAATGATGGGTCTGTATGCTATACATACTCATTTTTTTCTTTTATGCAGTTTTGGACACATTTCTAAAAATACAAATATGAAATATAAACTTGAATAAAAGTTTCTTCGCTTGCAACCAAAACCTGTTCGCTAAATACTTTGTTTCCATGCATTGTTTTATACCGTAGATCTTGTCTAGAAAAAATGCAGATGTTTTCTCGCAAACTGAACATAACACTTTCTTATTTCGTAGAGCTAGTAAATAATCTCTTTGTCAGCTTGTTGCAGTATTGTAAAGAGATATTTTCTCAGTCATTTTGACTTGCATTTTCCGTTTGATAATTATACGCCCCCCCGGTTTACCGCCATATTGGGTGTGGCATCGTGCAGAGGCTTCGCGCCATCATAGCCAATTAAAGCCTCTGCGGAGGAGAGAGGTACAGTGTTAATTGTTAAACAAATGGCGCACTACATCGTGGTTTTAGGTTCTGCAAACAAACAACACCAAAAGATCTATTGTATGGTATGTAAGATGTAATCATTGTTTTACTGTTTATTGTATATACAGGTCTGGAAAATTTAATAGACGAGAGTTGCAAATCGCTCATAACCTCACGTATATTTTTCGTTTGATAGCCACTATAATTATAACGAGGAGCTAGAGTATAACCATGCACATGTCGAAGTACAACCATTGTATACAATGCAGTGCTCGATCTTACATGCAACAGTGCACAAATTACACGATGACTTTATTATATAAATCAACACTCGTACTCATTGACTTTCGTAGTTTCCTTATCCTACTGTTGTTCTAATTAAAACCTGGTTCACATATGTCTGCGATGTGTCGGCGGGCTATTGTCTTAGCAGTTCAACCAAATAATTCACAAAAGAATGCATCAACAGCTGTAAACAATGACGTCGCAGGCATATCGCAGACATGTGAACCAGGCTTAACAGCAATGTAGCTAGATTATAGATTAATTTGTAGCTCAGCCTCCATTGTCCATATAAATTGTAGCCCAGCCTCCATTAACACCAATAATGAAATTAGCTCATTCTGGTAACTAGCTCAATTTTGTTGCTTGCAGTGTATCGGATCTATGGGTCTTTCAGATCCCAGAATTACCTAATTATTGTAAAGTCTGCATAAAGCAGAAAAGGCTCTGTTTCTGTCAATGACCGGTGCCTATTGAGTGACCAAATATTGTCAGCCTAATCCACTTATTTGATTGCTAATTCATGTTGCATTACTTTCATTGCAAAGCACCTGGATTACATGATTTGCCCGTAAAATAGCAGCAATTGATAAACTTGAGTAGATGGACTGAATGTATCAAGCAGAATGCATGTTGGCGATTTTAAGCGATCTTAGGCGATTTTAGGCGATTTAGGAGAAATTCGACAATTTTAACCCGTGATTTAGTGCGATTTTAGGCGATTTAGGGCGATTTAAGGCGATTTACCGCCCCAGAGTAGGCCTGAGATTAAGGTGTAAGGTTCTGGAAGGACAACCTTAATTGAATCAGCTGTACATATACATGCATTATACAGGGTGTATCAAAAAAAGTAAGCCAATTTTGAAATTGCTCTCAATTCCACAATTCTGTTTATGAAATGTAACTTTTTATATGTATGGATTGCTTGAGTTCTTAAATTATGGAAAATATAAAAAAAATTGAAAATAGTAAATTTTGCTATCCAGGGGGGTGGTCAACTTTTGCTATCCTAAAAGTGGCTTGCGCACGGAAATGACAAACGGTATTCTTTATTTGAGTTCATGTGTGAAAAGTTCGCTATTTGTTGCATTTATGATAAAATTTCGGCAGGATTTTACCTAGCCTGCGAGCAGGCTCTCTGGGGAAAGAGAGCCTGCAAGGATCCCTATGATGATTGCGTGCCGCCCTTCAATTATGATGTCACAGGTCAATTAATAACAACCAATCAGCGCAGACCGGAATACACTACGATATTGTAAACATAAACCGATTCGTTTCAAATTCGTTAATAGTTTCGTATACAGACCGCCACTGTGGCATGCATACTAAAAAGTTAAAACGGCTCGAGGTTTTACAGAGTAATATATCAAGTTGTACTTTTTATTACAATCTGCATGTGTTTCTCCTGTAGGCACAGTAAGTTTAAAGTTGTATATTACCCGCTAACTAATTCAGTTATTTGGAATTGCTTCGTGCTGCAATATATAATAATATACATTGTATACAGTCTATATATATAGTAATAATATAACTTACTGAAATTTATGGCTTTGGTGAGACATAGACATATATGATATACCATGGACATTGGACATTATTTAATAATATGTTTATAGTTCAAATTTTGCAACAAAAAGTGGAATTGCAGTAAACATGCATGTGATAATTATTGTAAACAAAGTGACGAGTAAATTACTGTACATTTTAACGCCGCATACTTATAAATATTAAATAGTCAGTATAACATTGTAAAACAAGCTTAATACACACAATATGCACTGAATATTATCAGAATTCCCAATATTGTTTCATAAAAGAGAAGCGACTGCCTTGTCCCTAGGTTTCGGTTTGCGAATTTGTGCAGTCTTTCTCAAGAATTATTCTTAGCTTAGGAGTCAGACAAGCCAAGGACACAATAAAGCATGCACGCTTTTAGTATTCGTCTTTATATGAATACTATATTAATTTACAGTAAAAAGTCAACCAGGATCAAAATACATGACACTTTTATCTCTACATTGCCGCAATTCCGAAGCTTTGCATTGCTCGGTTTTACAAACAGGAAGTGCAAGTTTATGGAAGCTTGTCAATCACTTCATATGAATCAGTTATCAACCAATCAGAGCACTGCGTCCAAATATTGGACGCATGCACCGAATCATCAAAGGGATCCTTGCAGGCTCTCTTTCCCCAGAGAGCCTGCTCGCAGGCTAGACACATGCAGTCATATAGTACGTTTTCAACCACTTAAAAATTGCATAGCAAAAGCAGTTTCCTATAATTAAACGAAGTTCTGCGAAATTGTGCAAAGAAATACAGATAATATATAGTTTCAATCGTGTGATATTTGGACTCAAGTGGGAGTCAATCATTGAAATGAAGTGAACCAAAAGAGCTAGGAAACAAAATGGCCGTCAATGCATCTTATGTAAATTAGTTAATTAGTTGGACGAATTTGGAACCGGGCTGAAATTCGTCCGTTTTGGTCTTTCGTTTACACGAGAACCACTGAACCGAACGAATTTGAAACATCCTAATTGACGAATTCGCGGGTAAAGACGAATCCCAGCCTAATCCTCTAATTAAACAGAAGGTAGATCTTATGGCAGACGAGCCTCTGCCAAACCCCTTAATCGCCCAGAACAAAGAAATTAACTTACCCAAGAACGGGAATTCAAACTCGAAAACAAAATTTAACCGCGTCAGTAACGAAGATAAAAATAACAAGTACGTCAACTCTCCCAAAAGCTCTATCCCTTGCCCCTTTCTATCCGGGCGAGGATGGTGCGCTAAAGGGAACCGTTGTGATTTTCAGCATAAAGAGCCTGGTCGTGACAAACACAAAATATCCTGTGCTTTTCTACGAAGGAATGGTTTTTGTTTGAAATGGGATCGATGTGATTATTCTCATATCGGTTTTTCTCATGGTATAGTGGCTCCCAGACCCAGGATGAACGCCACTGCTTATCCAAGTTCTTCCCTACATACCCCTATCTATCAATGTGCTCCCCCTTTTCAACCAGATACGAGACACAACACAAGGTCACCTTTTTTGTCCCATTCCCCCTGGCCTATGATTTCTCCTTTCCCCCTCCCCCCACTGATGAATGCTCTTACTTGGCCCCCGCTGACATACTGAACATCCACGATCATAAACCCATGACATATCCCCCTTTATCAGGAAAACCTACAAAACATAACGGTTAGAATCACAAACAGAAGTTTTAACAAATCTTATGAAATACCCTCAACAACACACGGTAATTTAATTACTGTCTCATTTAAAACCCAAAATGAGAACAAAAAGACGTTCGTGCCCAACATTTTACTCACAAACACCATGTCACTCACCCCTAAAATTGACGAAGTCTCTTGTTTTATGAAAATTCACAATCCAGACGCTGCTTGTATCACCGAAACTTGGCTCCATGGATCAATCGACGAATCGTGTCTTTATGTAGATGGATATAATTTCATCTTCAAAAACCGTTCAGTGGGCTGTCATGGAGATGTGGGTTTATATATTAAGAACTCAATATCCTTTGAATGTTTAGACCATCTACAGCATCCCTTGTTAGAGGTTCTCTGGGTACGTCTTAGTCCCAAAAGATTACCCCGTGGATTTACCTGTCTTGTAATTGGCGTAATATACCACTCACCACGCGCCGATGATCATGAAATGCTCAGTTACCTTTCAATATCACTTACCACCATTGAAAGCGATTATCCAGGCTGTGGTCTATCTAATGTTAGCAGGAGACTTCAACCAATTAAAAGTTAACCGTCTACTGAACCAGTTTCAATGCAAACAAATGGTCAATGTTTCTACCAGAGCTGACAAGACCCTTGATCTAATTATTACCAACTTAAACTCGTTTTACGCTAAAGACTCTGTAGAGAAACATCCTTCCTTTGGCCTCTCAGATCACAATGTGGTCATTCTAAACCCTAAAAACAGATGCGATAAATCAGGTAGCCGAAAGGTCGTCATAAGTAAAGACATGCGTCCCAGTAAAAAGAGCGAACTCGGAAGATACCTAACCTCCTGTAATTGGTCCATCCCAAATCACCTCGAAACCTGTGAAGAAAAACTTGAGCTTTTCACTGATCTTATTAACCTGGGTATCAATATCCTAATGCCCAAAAGAAGAATAACACTACATGTGAATGATCCCCCTTGGATCACAGCTAATTTTAAGATTCTTATAAAAAAACGCCAAGCAGCATTTTCTAAAGGCAATAACGAACTGTTTAGGTATTACCGCAACCGAGTTAATCGCGAAAGAAAAAAATGCCGTGAAAAGTTTTATTTGTTGAAGGTTGAACATCTAAAAAAAGTCAAAACCAGGTCGTTGGTGGAAAGAAGTAAAACAGATTGCTGGTATGACCCCCTCAACGGGAGCGGAAGATCTATATAACCAAATTCACATTGACGATATTGACCGGAAGTCTCCAAATGAGATTGCAAATCTCATAAACACAGCCTTCCTAGACCCCATGAAAACTTACCAACCTCTTACTTCTCTTCCCTCCTACGATCCAAATGACTCTGTCCTCCATCTCGACGAATTTGATGTGTATAAAGGGCTTGCGTTCCTTAATCCCAGAAAAGCCTCAGGCCCAGACGGTGTTCCGAATTGGGTGTTAAGCGAATATGCAGAAGTCCTCGCCCAGCCTGTCAGTTCAATTCTCAATAGCAGTTTTAATGAACAACGACTCCCTGCCTCGTGGAAAGCAGCTGATGTTGTTCCAATCATAAAAACGAAACCGGTAACCAAAATTTGTAAACATTTAAGACCAATATCCCTCACCCCAGCCCTTTCTAAAGTAGCAGAAGAATTCGTTGATTCTAAATACATTGGGCCAGCTATTCTGTGTCAAATCGACCCCAACCAATTTGGAGTGATATGAAAATCCTCTACATCTATGGCAGCGATATCAATGATCCACAATTGGCCCAATCAACTGATGGCACTGGCGCAGCAGTCAGAGTAGCCCTGTTCGACTATAAAAAAGCTTTTGACCTTATTGACCATTGTATACTCGCTGATAAGATCTCCAGATTACCAATTCCGAAGGCAGTCGTACGCTGGACTATTGATTTTCTATTGGACAGAAAAGAAAGAGTTAAACTCGCAACCGACTGCGTTTCAGAGTGGGGTGCTGTCCCGGCTGGTGTCCCTCAAGGCACGAAACTTGGGCCATGGCTTTTTCTATGGATGATCAATGATCTTAAAATCACTGAAGTATCTACTTGGAAGTATGTCGATGATACAACCGTTTCTGAGGTTGTTAAAAAAGGCGATACCAGCAAAACCCAAGACGCTGTTACCACAGTAGAAAACTGGTCGAATTCCAACAGACTACTTCTTAATGCAGATAAATGTAATGAACTCCAAATCGACTTTAAATCCACGAAACAGAACTTCGACCCTCTTACAGTCTACGGGAAGAAATTGCCGGTTGTCCAAAACGCTAAAATTCTAGGCCTCACCATCTCTAGTAACCTTAATTTAAATGGACTAACCACATTAACGAAGTCATCAAAAAAGCTAACAAACGTCTTTACTTCATTATCTTACTTAAGCGCGCAAAAGTCAGTTCGAAAGACATTGTAAACTTCTACTGTACAGTTATCAGGCCCATTTTGGAATATTGTCCCCCGGTTTTCCATTACTCAATCCCATCCTTCCTGTCAGAAGATCTTGAGACCGTACAAAAGCGAGCACTGAAGATCATTTTACCCGCGAACTCATATAGCGAAACTTTAGAATATTTCAATCTTCAAACTTTGTTCCAAAGACGCGAAGAAATGTGTAACAAACTTTTTACAAATATTACTAACAATACGACACACAAACTGCATAATTTACTGCCTCCCAAACATGAGTCGGTTTACCAACTTAGGAACAATAGACTGTTTGAACGATTCGAAAACTAATACAAAAAGATTTAAAAAAACTTTTATTCCTATGTCTAGTAACTTAAGTTAATGTAATTTTTAGTACTAAGCGTTTTAATGACCATTTGTAAATATGCCTAATTAACCCATATTCTATCTTTTAAATAATGTTTTATATACTCTTGTAAATCACGCAATTTAGCTGTCCAGCTGCAAGGTGAATTTTAAATACATTATCTATCTATCTATCTATCTATCTATCTATCTAAAAGCCAAATTACTTTTTAAAGCCCTCCTTTACACTCGCCACGCACCCTTGCCCTCACGTGACGTCAATACGTCATATGAAACCCTTGATTGAATAAATTAATATATTTTAGATGTAACTAGTTTAAAAACAAACATCATCGCTCAATTCAGAGAACCAACGTATGAGGTTTGCGGCCTTAATTGCGCAGAACACCGTTTCTGTGTTGCATTCAACTACAAAGAGAATTCTGAGGGGAATAAATGGAACTGTCAGTTAACAAATACGACTCAACATAAATTTGATAATAATGCCAACAATAAAAAGAGAGTTTGGACGTTCGTCAAAGATAATGTAGACCGAAGTCAGGTGGTAAGCAATTACAAATACCTTTTACTAAATTTGTGGACAAAGGGTATACCTCCCATTAAGCTAGGTTTACACGCTAGGATTAATCGTGTACGATTAGAGTGCTGGCGCCATAATTTAATGCCGTTTCGTTAAAAAGAAATTTCGAATGTAGCCAGCTTTTGGTCAGCTTACGCGTGTTTACTCAATGACCTACGCCAGAGAACGAATCGTACACGATTAATCGCAGCGTGTAAACGTAGCTTTAATACCAGAATCGATCCATGTCTATTCTTCCTTTACGCATATATATATATATATATATATATATATATATATATATATATATATATATATATATATATATATATATATATATATATATATATATATATATATATATATATATATATATATATATATATATATATATATATATATGTATATATATATATATATATATATATATATATCGAAACCGTAAAAGGTCTGGTAAATTATTTGAAAATTTCTAGTAGATCTATGTAGCCATTTTTCAAAGTTGGACATGACGAGGTTTTGAATATGCGGTCTTATTTTTTTTACATGCAAGTTCACACAAAATTGTATGCGCGTTAATTGCTTGACCGAAATGCTGAGCAGACAAATGAATTGAATTATATGCGCGCTGCTTTACCTAAATGCGGAGCAGACAAATAACAATAGGGAGATTTTGGCGTTTGACATGCAACTAAAAGGGAATCAGTATACCGAATTGTTGGTTTAAATACGAATCTACTGTTTAAAAAAAATGTATCCGTATTTAAATTTTGTCGGTCTCTAAAATAGACATCATGCAGTATTTTTGCATGTGAAGATGTATATAATCAACTATTTTGCAGGCATCGTGCAGAGGAGAAGTGAATGAATGTCACAATGGTGGAACAATGATCTGGGATCCAGAGAAACCTTTCAACTGTCTATGTAAGAAGGGATACGAAGGAAAAATCTGTGACAAAGGTAATTATAATAATATTAATTAATATGAAGGCATGCATATGGGATTTGAAGGTATACATTTGGAAATGGAAATATTAGGCCACTGGCACGAATCGAACCAGCGCTGCAAAAAAATCTGTAGAGGAAACTAGTAGGCGTTAATGGGTTAAGAAGTCGATCTGCTTATTTTTCAAAGGGGTTTTTTAACAAGCTTCCCACCGCTGGGGCTTCGGCTCTACAGCGAATAATACAAGGCGCTGGGGCTTGGGCTCTACAGCGAATAATAATTTTAATTTCCTCGCTTGCACGTCAGCAGCGAAAATAACGATATTGATAATTATCCGGGGTTTGTCAAAACCAATCACGAACCAAGAATACATACATACAAACTTTATTTATTCACGCTAGCATCAACAACATTACAAGCTGATTTTCATGAGGGGCGTGATTAAGAACTATTTACAGGATAAAACACATTAGCAAGAAATGAATAATAGCACAGTTGTACTGCTTACAAGTTAATTATTACGAAAGTCACCGAACTGTGGAATCGCATCAAAAATTCGTATATCGACCACTCCCACAAACGTCTACGACCGCGCCTACATAGTATTGCATGTTTACAATTCTAACTTTAAACAACCAATTACCAAGAACCTGATTGGCTGTTCAAAATTAGAATTGTAAACATGCAAAACTATGTAGGCGCGGTCGTGGACGTTTGTGGGAGTGGTCGATGTACGAATTTTTTATGCGATTCCACAGTTCGGTGACTTTCGTAATATATATTTTGATGAGCCAGATTCAACAAATTCTCGATTCTTAATTATTTCCTTATGGGGAAGATTGTTTGGCGATGAAGTTATTTTATTTTGTCTATGAAAGGAAACTAGTAGGCGTTAATGGGTTAAGAAGTCGATCTGCTTACTTTTCAAAGGGCTTTTTTAACAAGCTTATAGAATAACATTTGAATGCCAAGAATAACATTTCGTGTATAATAATGACAATTATTATGTAGATGCTTTACCCTCATCCTTTCGGTGTTTTATTTTATATTTTCTATTAGTTAATTTGCGAATGCCGCACTTTTTCTTTTCAGAAGTGCTGACATCATGCAAACAAATATTGACGAGCTCTAGGTAAAACACAAAATCTTAATATAAATGTTAATGTCCAGCAGAAAATGACAGAAATAACGTAAAAGAGCTGAACAAAAATATAGTTTAAAATATTTATTAAAAAGCTAACGTTTCGTCTTTAACTTAAGACATCTTCAGAGCAATGACATACAAAGCGGAAAACATAGAAATATGAATAAACTATTTACAAGATATTATATTACAAAAGTAGAAAGAGGAGTGGATCAGAGTAGAAGTAGAGGGGTACCGAACTGCCCTGTAAGTTGAGAGAAGATTTGAGTTTGTTAATGAGAAGACTCTCTCAACTTTTCTCGCTTAATGCTCTGAAGATATCTTAAGTTAAAGACGAAACATTAGCTATCTAATAAATATTATTTTAAACTATATTTTTGTTATGGCTCTTTTACGTATTTTCTCCAGATTACGATTTCCGCTCGGGTCATCTATCGCAAGTAAAATACACACATATATCCTATATACATACATACATACATACATACACACATACATACACAAACATATACACCACAAGGGTTCTATTTCATCACACTAGCCTCTCTCAACTTTTTAGAGTAAAAAGTAAGCTGGTTTACAGAAAGAGAGTAATTGCTATTAATTCCTTATAACTACAACATCTACAATTACCATGCATTAATTAGGTTATTTATTAAACACTTTCAAAGGAAATTGAACAAGAGAAGTTGGTATACGTGAAATATATACACGTACCTATTTGGCAGTCTATTTAAAATCACATAAATTACAGTATAATAAAATCTATATATGGTTTCAGAAAGCGGCAGATCGGCAATGCGATGTCTAAATTGATAAAGTGAGGTTCCATTTCTTACCGCAGATGGAAAATTGTTCCACAACATCGACCCGCTGATCTAAAGCTTCGCTTGAGAAAATTCGTTTTTGGTGTTGGTAGAGATATATAGATTAAATCATATAATACTTTTTGTTTGTGGGAACACCATATAAATTTATTACAGCAAAACTTTCGATCCGTAAGCCCTGATCTTCATCGATATCAGTGCTAATAATGTGTGACTTGTTCAAATCAGTTTCCAAATTGCGTAAATTGTAAACAGAAATTAAGTTAGACAATATTTCGTTTATCTTACAGCAACAAGGGAAATGGTGTTTACCAAATTAGTGTTGAAAAAAATAAATTTATCGACGTGTACTGTCAAATGACTAACGTCTCAGGATGCTATGGCGGCGGTTGGACAATGGTGATGAAGATTGATGGAAGCTTGGTAAGCGTGCGTGTAGATTTAATGATTACTTCTGCTTTGTATCTCACTGCTCTGAAGATGTCTTAAGTAAAAGACGAAACGTTTGCTTTTTAGTAAATGTTTTAAACTATATTTTTGCTATGGCTCCTTTACGTATTCTTTGCTGGGCATTAATATTTATCTTAAGTTTAATGATTATGTATCTGCGAATCAGAATGCAAATATACTTTGTACAGCGATGCAAGTTTCCTGTAAACAAATTCCATGTTTTCGTCCGCGTTTGTTTGTTTGTGTGTGTGTTTAAAGTTTGTCTTGCTTTGCCCGGGAAAATAAACCGAATGTGCAATTAGCCTATTGTATAATTAATGCACGATATAATTTATACATATTAATAAATCCGATTGCGGAAATATGCAGGCTCAGAGTGTCCTCTAGTTTCTTAACATATTTGTTTTTATAGAGTACTTTCAAATACAATTCCTCCCATTGGACGAACAAAACAACTTACAATGACACTGACTATGGGCGAAACGGCGGTTTAGACAACGGACAATATAAAGGATCGACTTACTCGACAACCTCATTTGAAGAAATTTGTGTCGGTATGAAATATGATGGTAATTTCAGAGCATTCTCTTTCCGGTATCCGGCATCATCATTGTATGATTTGATCGCAGACGGAAACTATCGACAAACTGATGTTAGTCGGAAGCAGTGGAAAGGTTTAATCAATGGATCATCCTTACAGGAGAATTGCAATAGACAAGGATTCAACGTGCGAGGTGATACCACGAACCCTGTACATTATAAAGTGACTGTAAAAGTTCGGTTGGGCATTGTTGCAAACGAACAAAATGAATGTGATACACCAGACTCTTTCTTAGGCCTGGGAGCTGGAGGTGATCTGAATCATCTCAAGATCGCGTGCGGGTCTGATTCACATACATCTGCCAACGCCGCGGGTAATATTGCCCAGTGTAGTGCAGACAACGGAAACAAGAATGCCAGAGCCATGGCATACATTTTGGTTCGTTAAAGGAACTGAGTGGTCCGATTTAAACTAGAGATGGATTAATCGTCAAAATACATCATCTATCAGACGGATCATTAGGTCATATGTTGCACGATGCAATATTTACTGCAACTTGACACGAGTCCAACGAAAATGGCGCGGGTAATAAATTCCAAGGCGCGAGTAAAAAGTTCCAAGGCGGGGGTAACAAGTTTGGTTTATATTATTGTGTTCACATTACATATATTTAACTTTTGAACGGGGGTCCAAATCCGCCAACGGGGGTCCGTATTTACTAGTAGATTTGGACCCCCGGGGGTCCATATCTGCTAGGAGATTTGGACCGGGGGGTCCATATCTACTAGTGGATATGGACCGGGGGTCCAAATCTACGGGGGTCCAAATCAACTGGGATACCGGTACTTATATTCAAGATGGCGGCTATTTTGACTAAAAGTTCTGCAGTTATTCGGTCAAATATCGTCCCATTCTGTAGAAGGTCTGCAAGCTTTAAATTAAACTAACACAGACATCAATTAACTTAAGTAAATCACGTTTGGAGGCGTTATATTTTTAAACACAAAGAGAATGGACAGTTGGAATATTTGGACGGAGTCTGTCACTGTCACAATCTCGTACCCAGAGTCAGGGGCGAAACTAGCCCCTTTTAATTAGGGGGGTGTCTGGCAGAATTGCCCTGCCAAAACCATGCAGTAATGCCCTGCCATGGGCGTACCGGAAGGAAAAAATTAGGGGGGCAGAAACTTTTCAAAAATTGCCCGACTAGTACCACAAATTTTTTTCCGGAAAAATTATTTTGGCGACCTCCAACCCCCCCCCCCGTCGCCAAAAAAATTTCGGTCTGTGTACCATTTTAGGGGTCAAAAAAATTTTCCAGATAACATATATTTTTCGGAACATAACACAAATTTTCGAAAAATCACACAATTTGCGAAAAAATTGACTTAATTTTAGCTAAAATTGACTGAATTTGTCCCCTTTTTTTTTTCAAACCAAAATTGCCCGACTGTTGATCGAATATTGCCCCCGCCCGGTACGCCTATGTGCTATCATTTATTTATAAGAGACCTTTGATTGCCCTGCCAATCGGGATGATTCGTATTTTGGGGGGGTGCAACACCCCCCCCCCCCATAACCCCCTCAAGTTTCGCCCCTGCCCAGAGTATGCCCGTTCGCAGGTTACGTGCTGTGCATAATGCCATATTAGCATGTACTTCGCCCCACTTAATGCACCAGTCAGTGGTTTGCCCCCGGGGGGGGGGGGTGGTATTGGGTTTACCGAAACAATTTGATATTTTTCTAGAAATTTCTGTCAATTTCCCCAATATGGGGCGACCTAACAAAGTCAAACTCCCGTCAATGTGCCCCAGTCTCAAGATGCGAGTTTAAAATTTTCAAATTTCTGACCGTCAGGCCTTGAACGCATGTTATTGTCAAATTTCTTTCCCAGGGGATACCTCCCACCCCCCCATCCACTGACTGGTGCATTAGAAATTTACTCTGGACTAGAGGTGCGCAAATCCAATCCAAATCCGATCGGATTCGTTCCGATTTCGGAACAAAATATTTATTTCGGATTGGATCGGATTGATAAAATTGTTTCGTAGTCGGATTGGATCGGACTTCGGTATTTGAAATAAAACAACGCGATTGTCGCTGCATTATTCGTTTGATAATTCAATTTTTCGTCACTTTGTCAGCTTCTTGACATTTATTTCTAGCTTTTATATTTATTTGGTTCAATATTTACACTTGAATGAGAAACTTATTTTATTAAAAGATTTTTCGGATGGACTCGTAATTTTTTATCCAAACTCGGATCAGATCGAATTCGGATTAGACAATTTCGGATTGGATTGTAAACATTAGCCAATTGTCAGATTATAAACGTCCAATCAATTCTGGACTGTCAAATGCCACACGATTTTACCGATCGTTGTCAAACTGATCATATAATTAAGTCAACAAAAATGTCAGGATATGTGAAAAAAATATGCTGAGGATAACGCCTCCAAACGCGATTTACTTGATGTCTTTAGTTTAAGTTTAAAACTCGCAGAGGTTCCAGAGACTGACACGATATTGGACCGAATAATTTCGAAAATTTTAGCCTAAATAGCTGCCATCTTGAATAAAAGTACCGGGCAATTGATCTCAGAACATTTTACCCGCGCCTCGAAACTTTTTACTCGCGCCTCGGAACTTTTTACTCAAGGCTCGGAACTTTTCACCCGCGCCTCGGAACTTGTTACCCGCGCCATTTTCGCTGGACCCGCGCCATTTTTATTGACTCGCGTCCCGCGGCATATAAACTATCCCCAGTTTCTGCATGTCACAGAGCCTTGCTAGTTAAAAGATTGGAAATTTCTGCGCATGGTCCACGGTTTACTCTGCCAACATTTTTCATCCCGTTTCTTTCAAGTTTTGACAGAGTAGAATGCGGGTCATTTTCATCATTTCTCTGTAGTTACGCTTTAGATAATATGGCTCACTCATCTGGCTCTGTATATCTGAAGTTGCAGGAAACGTTGCCTCGCGTGACATGGCCTTAAAGTTTAGTGTAAACATTATAGACAAACCATCCGGACGAAATAAAATATTGGGGGGGGGGGACTGTGAGCTGCCTGACTCATCGTTTACTCTGTCAACATTTTTCATCATAAATTTTTTCAATTTTCATCCTATATTATAGTTCTGGCAACACATCGTGCCTGACATTTTCCTTATCTAATGCCGTTGTAAAAGCTGTTTTCCACTAGGCGGAATTTTTCACGCGGAGCGGTATTTTTCTTTGTCTTGTAATTTCTCGGGTGGAACTAATTAGAAAAGACAAAGAGGAATTCCGCTCCGCGCGGAAAATTCCGCCTAGTGGAAAACGGCCTTAAGGTAATTCCGCAGTAATTGTTTCCGAAATGAGAATGTGCTGAAACTTCCCAGGCATGGAGTTTATGATATACTTAATTAAAGTAAAATCACACAAAAAAGTCGGGGTCACCGAACTCGTTAAGATGATATGACAATCACAATATACCACCTTAGTAGTAATATAGGTACCGTTCGACCCGGATTTTTGTGGTGGCGTGTGGTGGCGTGTGGTGGCGCGGGGGCGGCGCATCATCATTAGCATAGATTGTGGTGGCGCATCATCATTAACATACGTCATAATTATATACAATGACGTCACGCGGGCAGGATCAGGTAAGTAATGACGTCACGCGGGCCTGTTCGGGCGAAATTGAACAAAACTTGCTGACTAAGCATTTTTTAGCGGCCCTCCTCGTGTGCGACACAATAGTTAGGTCTATATACAAGAGAATATGTTGTTGTCTGGAGTTTTATAAGTACAGCTCTAGCATTTTGCTGTTATTGTCAAAACGCTGAGAAATAGCATTAGTGTTATATATCCAAAACTTATATATTCGGGGTATACAGCTATATGTTTTGTTGTTAAGTAATATTTATATATTATCAAGCGTCAAAACGCTGAGAAATAGCATACAGTAAAGAGTTATGTATCTACAATTTAAACTAATATTTAAATCCCGGTCTGCCATATGAGGTCTATATACGAGAGAATATGTTGCTGTTTAGAGTTATATAAACACGTGGAAATTAGAGATTATGATATATAATTTTCAAGCGATTTCTATATTTTATTGCTAGTTTTTTAAAGTACTAAAACTCGGATAAGGTTAATAAATTTAAGCTATATTAAAGCACACCGGTTGCTATGTGTTGTTAGGGTGACACTAATTAAAGGATTAACTTTTATCAGAGATTTGCATTTTTCTACTGTGTGGATAAATACGGGTAGATTAGGATATTCATTGCGCGGCCGTCGCGGGTTATCCGTGCGGGAAGAGAGAAAGCGATTTAGACAAGACAGGAGCGCTTTGCAGCCAAAACTTGAAAGACTTTGTGTGGAATCCTGTAATGGTTGTCAAGTCGGTCATCCTAGTCAAAGACAACATGACTGCCTCATGATGAACGAAAACGAACGAGGGCAAATAAGGAATCTATTCGTCACAAAAATCATATTTTAAATATATTTTAGACATATTTTAAACTAAACAGTTTCTAATCCCGAGTTGTCAACGTCGTTGTTAAGGTCGATATTTACATGTTGTTCAACGTTATTTTAGCAAATATTCTACATACATATATACTGTTAAGATGACCGAGTCAGATCATAAGTAAGCTTATCAAGAACATAAGTTAGAATTGGAACAGTTGTAAGATATTTTGCAATAAAAACATGTAATCGTTATATACGTTGTTATTTGTTGCTAAGTCATTAGCGACGCTTGCGTGCATGCATATATTAACGTGCAACATATTTGTACACTAATCAGGCGGGCGGATCGCGCGGGCGGAAAGAGCGGGCATTGCCGGCAAAAATTTACACAATATTTCAGTTTTTAAATTTATTTCTTCAAAACGTTTTACAAAATTTAGTACGGTCTACTTCTAAGAGCGTAACGTCTAGGTGTTTTTGTTATTTTTAAAGAGTTCTCATATTCTTGTCTATCTTCTGGGGATAACCTTGCAACATCTTCATTCTTCATTGGAATATATTTCGGCCTCTCGCGAAGTAATCTTTGTTCGTAACCTTCTCTTTGTTCAGGGGTCATCATTGCCAAATCTTGGGGCCTCCAATCTGTAGAGTCTACCCAATTATGGAAAAAGTTGTGCTTGAGTTTTGGCCGCTCCTCTTCTGTTGGTGGTGGTGTAAGAAAATTAGGTTTAGGTGTAGCAGGCACTGGTGGTGCTATCTCGACAGATTCATTGCGTTGTGGCATCTCTGCAGGCACGAATGGAGTTGTCTGAACAGGAGCTGGGACATCCATCTTATTTTTGAATGTCAAAAACCGATTTAGTTGATCAGAGTATAATTTGCTTTTTTCCACTGCGCTAAGCTGTGGTGCATACATGATTTCTTTCATTCTCTGTTCGGCATCATACATTGCGTTTGCAAGTGGTGGTTGACGATACGACTGTTTGTG